CCCGCCCCCATCTCCTCCATCCCCACCAGCGGTGGTCGCGTCTCCCTCCCCCCTCTCCCCGTTCCTCCCCCCTACCCCGCAGTTTTGGGGTGCCTGCCCCTCACCTGCAGACGGTGATGAGGTTTTTCCTCTCCACGGCGATGTTCCTGGAGGAAGCTTTCTTGGAGGAGAGCCCCAGAGCCATGGCAGCCGGCACCCAGCTCGCTTCCATCCAGCGGCCCAGGCGCCGCGGCCGCGGGCGATGCCCCTTCCCCCGCGGGGACCCCCCAGCCCCGGCCCCGGCCGCGGCCCCCGCTCCGCGCAGGGTTCGCTCCGCCGGTGCCCACGCCACGGGCCGTGCGCCGCCCCCCCCCCCCCTCCAAAGGGATGCTCTCCCCGCCCCCGGCCCCCCAAATCTCTCTCCGGGGGATGGGGGGGTGGGGGAGGGTAAGGAGGGGAGGGCCGGAGTCCCCCGGGGGGTCCCCACCTGTCCCTCCCCACATCAAGTGCCACTGGTGGGGGACGCCGTGGGTAAAGTCACGGGGAGGGGGCAGCCCCCAGGGTTTTGGGGGGGTGTTTTGCCCACCCCAGGCTCAGATCGCCACCCCCTGCCTTGCTCTGCCGCGATCCCCGTTTTGGGGGGCTGAGCATCACCCCCCCACCCCCCCGCGGGGTCTGCGGGGGGCGAGGGACCCCCTTCACCCTTCAGGGTGGGCAGGGCTGACCGTGCTGGGGGGCAAATCCCCCGCCCCCGTTATCCATTGTGCCTCAGTTTCCCCGTTGTCGTGACAGAGAAATGGGGAAGGGGGGCCTGGTGAGCCCCACAGCACCCACGGAAACCTCCAGAGCCCCCAGTGAGTCAGAGTCGCCCCCAGCTCACAGACACCCCCCGTGGGGACATGTCCCACCTCCCCGTGCCCAGCAGGGACAGGTCCGCGCCCCCTCTGCCCCTGCCGCGAGAACCCAGCGGGGGGACAGGTGGGCACAGTGCGGGGAGGGACCCCCGAAATCCCCACGGCTGTGCAGGGAGGGGAGCCCTTGGCAGTGCCCAGATAAGGCCGGGGGCTGTTATCGGGACACCCAGACCCAGCACCACCCCTCCGTCCCCTGCGGTGCCACCAGGTCCCCACCAGGTCCCCACCAGGTCCCCACCAGGTCCCCAACGTGTGCAGCCGAGTCCCCGGCCGGGATGGGCCCTCACACCGGTGTGGCACAGTGGGGACAGCACCGAGATCACCTCACTGCTGGGGGACCCTGTGGGAGTCCCCAGGTACCAGCACAGCCTCACCCGAGTGTGTGCGCTCAGGTGTGTGCGCAGGTGTGTGTGCTCAGGTGTGTGCGCTCAGGTGTGTGTGTGTGCGAGGCTCACCCACCTCACCCTTGCCCTGGGTTTGGGATTGGGATTTTGGGGCTGAGATCCTTTTAAAAGGCTGTAAATGTAGAGAAACACAAGTGTGAATGTCCGTCCGCAGATGATGGTGATGATGGTGATGATGGTGCACAGGAATGTGCCCCCCTCACACACACCTGTGCCCATGGCTGTGCCCTAACGTAGGTGCACGCACACCTCGCCCTCCTCCAGATCATCCCAGCTCTCTCCGGGGCACCCCAGTGACCCCAATGCCATGGCTCGGACGGACACCCCGTCCCCGTGTCCTCCCCGGGGAACCTCCCCAGGAACCCCCTTTTTTTTAATTTTTTTTTTTTTTAAAGCAGAACACCCCAACCCCGCGGAAAGGGGGAGGGGGGGACAACCGGGGGGATCCCGGGGATTCCCTGCAGGGAAACCCGGAGGTAAACAAGATTGGGGGGACGGGGGGGGCAGCGGGAGCAGGTTCGGGGTGCCGGGCTGGGTGAGGGCCGGGAGGACAGCGGGGCGCAGGCGGGGCTTAGCCGGGGCGCAGCTTTACACCCCGCAGATGTTGCACCCCGATAACCTTGTTTTTGAGGGGGGCCCCGGGGGGGGCCGGGTGAGCCCGAGGGGGGCAAGATTAGGGAGGCGAGCGTGACTCAGGCATTGGAGTCTCACAGCCCGGGCAGCCGCAGGCAGAGCGCGGGCAGGGGCGGCGGAGGCACCCCAGGGTAGGTGCGGGGTCACCTCGGGGTGTCCCTGGTGGGACGGGGGGTGGCTTGGCTGGCAGGGCACCCTGGGGTGCCCCCGGGGCTGTCCGAGGGGGGTGCTGGGGTGGGAGGCGCTGTGGGATGGGATGTATGGACTCCATAGGGAGCCACCAGAGGGGTCCCAGCCGTGCCATGGGGACGGTGAGGGGTGTATGGACTCCATAGGGAGCCAAGTTGGGCACCTGCTGGATGGAAGATCCAAGCCATGCTGCAGGGATGGCATGGCATGGATGGCATGGACTCCATGGGGAGCTGTACCCACTGAGGGAAGGAGCAGCCCCGTGTTGCGTGGATGGTTTGGGATGTGCTGTGGAGGGAAGCAGGAGGGCTCCCAGCCATGCCCCGTGCACGGTGTGGGATCTGGGGGCTCCGCAGAGCCCTGGTGGCTGCGGGAAGGATCCCGGTGACCGTGCGGGACGGCCGGGGGTGTGCGGGCTCCGTGCTGAGCCGCGCGGTGTTGGTGTAGGAGCTGCGAGCGCAGTCCTGAGCCATGGCGGGGGATGTATGGGATGTATGGATCCCATAGGGGGCCGTGGTGGCCGGAGGGATCCCAGCCCCGCGTGGGTGCTGTGGGATGGATGTATGGATCCCATAGGGAGCACGCTGGCCGGGTGCTGCGGGGACACGGGCTCCACTCGCGGGGTGGGCTCCATCCCACGCACACGGTGCGGGTCTGGGGGCCCCGCGCCGCCCGGGGGGTTCGTGGGGCGGGACGAGCCCCATCGTGCCGTGCCCCATCCTGCCGTGCCGGGGCTGCAGCCTGGGCTCCGTGCGGGGCTGGGCGGGCTCTGCACAGCCCGGGGGCCGCAGGGATGCGTTCGGCGGGTCCCGGTGACCTCGCTGCCAGCTGCCGCAGAGCCCCGCGGGTGCCCGGCCCCGCAGCCCGGCCCGGGGCGCTGCGGGACAGAGCGGGGGGCAGCGGGTGGAGCGGGGCGGGGGCCGACGCCCGGGGCCGGGCGTTATCAGTGGGGCACAGCCCGGAGCACCGGGCTGATGCAAGAGCCGCCGGCGGGGCTGGGGGGGCCGGGGGGGCCCGGGACAGGCCGGGCTGGGGGGCCGGGGGCCGCCGGCCCCGGGGCCAGGCGGGGCAGGAAGGAGACGGCCGAGTCAGAGGCTCGCCGTCCATCCCGTGGCCCCGCCGCGGCTCCCGCGCCCCGCCGGGGATCCCGTGTGGCCCCGCCGGGGATCCCGTGGCCCCCGCGGGGTGTCCGGGACCCCAGCCCGGCTCCCGCCGCCCCCGGCCGGGAGCGAGCTCCTGCATCACCCTGGTGAGATCTGGGGGGGCTGGTTCCCCCCAAAGCCGCCCGTGCCCTGACCCGATCCCCGTGTGGGGTCCCTGGGCGGGGGGAGCGGGGGCAGCCGGAGCCCCTCGTCCCCCCCGAGCTGTGGGGTCCCCACGGGGGAGCTGGAACAGCGGCTTTGGGGGTCCCGGGTCGTGACACCCCCTCCTCAGAGACTCTGGGCGGGGGCGGGCGGGGGTCTCGGCTGAGGAGGTTCTTGGGGGGGTCCGGACCCCCGGGACCCTCCGGGGCTGCCCCGGGAGGGGAATTGGGGGGGGCGGAGTGCGGGCAGGGCGCCCCCTGGCGGTTGTCCCGCGGCGCAGCCCTGGGGCAGCTGCGGGGGTGGGGCGGGGGGCAGGGGACACAAGGGGTGACAGGGGACACAAGGGACACACAGGGGGTGACAGGGGACACGGGAGGTGACAGGGGACACAGGGGGGCACAAGGGGGCACATGATGGAAGGGCAGCAGCAGCAGGGGCCTGTGCACCCTGGGGGGCTTTGGGGTGCTCACCCCGTCCGGGTTTGGGGTGTCCCGTGAGTTCAGCTGTGCCTCAGTTTCCCCCCATCTCCCCCTCCCACTCTGCCAGGGGCTGTGGCCGTGTGAGGGGGGATCAGGGCGCTGTGTGCCCGACCCCAGCCCGTGTGTGTGGGGGCTGTAAGGGACCCCCACAAGGGTGCAAGGGGCTGTGTAGGACCCCAGACATGTGCGTGGGTCTGTACAGGACCCCCACCCACCCACGGGAGGATCGTGTGGGATCCCAGCTCCTGAGCGTGGGCCCATAGGGGAGCCGACCCCGGCTGTGGGTCCGTGCAGGACCTGACCCTGAGCACAGGGCACGGCGTGCGTGGGCACGGGTGGCTCAGGGCTGGATGCCACGTCCCTGGTGGCAAACTGCCGGGGCTCTGCCATGTCCTGACGTCGGTTCCCATCCCGTATGGCGGCAGGGCAGGGCATGACTTCCCTGGGGACCCCCAAGCCCAGGACCTCCCAGCCCGTGGGGAACGGGTTAGGCAGGCAGGGGCTGCGGGAACGGCCACGGTTCCATCCCTTGGGACAAAGCCCAGTCCCGGGGGCACCGAGCGATGCCCTGCTCTCTGCTAACTTGTTCTCTCTCGTTTCCCCCGGGCCCGCCCCGCAGAGCGCCGGGTTATGGTGGCACCGGGCTGAGCGCCGGGACGCGCCGAGGCGGCAGCGGGGGCCGAGCCCGGAGCCATGGAGGGGCCCGGCCAGGTAGGGACCCCCGGCCCCCCCGCCCCGGCTCCGCCGCTGCGCCCCGGCACGGCCCCGCAGATCCTTCTGACCCCCCTCTGTCTGTCCCGCAGGAGGCCTACGAGGAGGGGATGAGGAGGACCCTGGACCCCGAAGGCTACGAGGACCTCGGCCTGAAGAGCTCCCACCTGTCACTGGGCGAGATGAGCAGTGAGTGGCTCCTGGGGTGCTGGGGGACGCTGGCAGCGTGGGCGCCAGGGGAGGCATTGCATGGGCACCTGTGTCAGGGGTGCCAGCACTGCACGGGTGTGGCAGAGCACGGGTACTGCTGTGCCACCCGGGCACCGGTGTGGCAGAGGGGACACTGCTGCATGTGTGACAATGGCATTACACGGGTGGCAGCTTTGCAGGAGCGATGGCACCACAGGGGCACGGGCACCGGCTGGGTGCCAGCATCGCAAGGGCACCAGTGGCTCAAGGTCACACGTTGGCAGCAGAGTTTTGTGGGTGCAGGGACACCAGCATGGCTCAGGGGCGTTGCAGGGGCACCAGCCCTGCATGGGCACGGGCGTTTCCTGGCTGCAGCTTCTCGTGGGCACGCATGGCGGATTGGCATGGGTGCCAGCATGGCACAGGCACGTTGCATGGGCTGCACAGACGTGTTGCATGAGCAGAGCGTTGCATGGATGCGTTTCCTGGGTGCCAGCGTGGCACTGGCAGTGGGGCTCGCTCGGGGTCAGGCA